CAAGGACAATTACTATGATTGACTTGATTGAATACAACTCCTTCCCTGAGGACTGGGGCTGGGCTCCTTTCTCAGCACAAGGACACGGGGACAAAGAGAGAGAATGACTGTTGAAAAGGAGACCCACTGACTCCGCCACAGGAACAAAGCCAGATAACAGTGGGTGGAGTGAATGCAAGGTAGGGACACGGAGATAGCAAGTGTAAATGGTGCTTTCTAGAACTTTGTAAAGGGAGAAGAGACTGACCAGCAGGGAGATGTGGAGGGCAGGAAGAATATTTCGACGGCACCCCAAAGATGTCTGAAATTTCTTGTCCAAGATGGACCTCATGAATGGTCCCACCACTCATGAAACCAGCAAGTGGGACTGCCCCACTGCCCCCCACCCCCCACCCCAGCCCTAACGAGTCGATCCCCCAGGCCTGCTTGTTCTCACCGCTCAGGGTCTCTGCAGCCCACAGTCTTTATGCCGGAGTTTCCAACAGCAGTGCCATCAGCACCTTGGACTGGATAATTTGGGACAGGAGGGTGTGTCCTGTGATCTGAGGGATGTTTAGTAGCTCCTAGATGCCAATAGTGTGCTTACCTATTTATGTGCAGTCATGACAATCAAAACCATCTTCCAAGGGTTTCCCTGGCGGTCCAGTAGTTAAGAATCCACCTGCCAGTGCAGGGGACATGGGTTCAATCCCCAGTCCAGAAACTGAGATCCCACATGTCATGGGGCAACTAAGCCTGTGCACTGCAACTACTGAAGCCTGCATGCCTTAGGGCCCAAACTCTACAAACCTCAATGAGAAGCCCACACATGGCAACTAGAGAGTAGCTCCCACTTGCCTCAACTAGAGAGAGCTCATGTGTAGCGACAAAGACCCAGTGCAGACAAAAATTAATTAATTAATTTAAAAAAACTTTTTTTAAACTGTCTCTGGATACTGTCAAATGTGCCCAAGGGGGCAAAAATCAGCCCTGGCTGAGAACAACAGCTCTGGGTCCTATGGACACTCTTACAGATCTTTAAACCATTTCTGGTCATGGTTAGTCTTTGCTCTCTCTGTTGTCTTTTCCACACCCAGCCCTTGACCTTGTCACCCTTTACCTATCTGTTTGCTTCCCCCCACCCTTTACTCAATTGTCAGCTCTGGAACCCTGTTAAGCCTGTTCAGCATTATATCTCTAAAGCCTAGCACCTTGACTGGTACACAGATGGCTCTGTGTGTGTGTGTGCATGTATGTATGTATGTACATCTTGAATGACTAAGTGAATGAATAAAGGACTCCTGCCCTGCCTTTCCGACCTTTGCCAACTGGCTCCTGAACTAATGGACCAGCCTTCTAAAACAGCCTCTACAGTTGGCCACACAGCATCCTGAGCATTTGTTCTCCACCACCTGTGATCATAGACTTGTTGAGAACTGAGTGAGACCATTGGACCTTCACCCTGTCAAAGGCCATAGGCTTGCACAACTTGAAGCTCCATCACGTGCTCCCAGAAGAATCCTGTCTCCCAAGACAAGCACTGAGAAGCCACGACTCTGACCAAAGCCAGTCCAGCTTGAGTTCTTTCCATGCCTCTTCTTCACCTCCAGAATGAAGTTTTAACTCCTCAGCTGCAGACACAGGCCCTTCAACACTCAGCCTTACCCTAAAGGATCTGGGCTCTCGGACAGTCAGAGTCTTGGTCTCTATCTCTACTGCTCAGCACAGCTTTCCAGTCTTAGCCACTGGGGGCAGTTCAACGCTCCACTCAGATGACACCCTTTCCCTGCCCTGGGGTGTCCCATCTCCGATATGCTCCTAAGAGTAAAAATAACCGTGGTTTCCTGATCCACTTTTCTCCCAACACTGGGAATTACGGGAGATCAGGAGTCATAAGTAACTCACTGCTATATCTTCAGAACCTGCTCTAGGGCTGCTGTGTGGACTCTCTCAATAAACATGTGCTGGACACGATGTCCCCTCACCATCTGTTCCGCATTCCCCCTGAATTTTGCTTGGTGGCCTACAGGGTTCCAGGGAGCAGCTTTAACCTCAGACTCCAAAGGAATAGAGTCAGCTTTAGACAGAAGCCAACTCTGACAAGGGCAGAGCAGAGAGAGAAGGCAAAGTCTTGGTGACCTAACTGAGGAGCTGGATCAGCCCTTGCCTGAAGCCAATCCTTCTGAAATTTCATTTCTGTAAAGCTATTATAGTCCTTTTACTAGTTTAAGTAATGGTTTCTATTATCTGTAACTCAAAGCAGCAAGAAAAAAAATTAATTAATTAATTTAAAAAAACTTTTTTTAAACTGTCTCTGGATACTGTCAAATGTGCCCAAGGGGGCAAAAATCAGCCCTGGCTGAGAACAACAGCTCTGGGTCCTATGGACACTCTTACAGATCTTTAAACCATTTCTGGTCATGGTTAGTCTTTGCTCTCTCTGTTGTCTTTTCCACACCCAGCCCTTGACCTTGTCACCCTTTACCTATCTGTTTGCTTCCCCCCACCCTTTACTCAATTGTCAGCTCTGGAACCCTGTTAAGCCTGTTCAGCATTATATCTCTAAAGCCTAGCACCTTGACTGGTACACAGATGGCTCTGTGTGTGTGTGTGCATGTATGTATGTATGTACATCTTGAATGACTAAGTGAATGAATAAAGGACTCCTGCCCTGCCTTTCCGACCTTTGCCAACTGGCTCCTGGACTAATGGACCAGCCTTCTAAAACAGCCTCTACAGTTGGCCACACAGCATCCTGAGCATTTGTTCTCCACCACCTGTGACCATAGACTTGTTGAGAACTGAGTGAGACCATTGGACCTTCACCCTGTCAAAGGCCATAGGCTTGCACAACTTGAAGCTCCATCACGTGCTCCCAGAAGACTCCTGTCTCCCAAGACAAGCACTGAGAAGCCATGACTCTGACCAAAGCCAGTCCAGCTTGAGTTCTTTCCATGCCTCTTCTTCACCTCCAGAATGAAGTTTTAACTCCTCAGCTGCAGACACAGGCCCTTCAACACTCAGCCTTACCCTAAAGGATCTGGGCTCTCGGACAGTCAGAGTCTTGGTCTCTATCTCTACTGCTCAGCACAGCTTTCCAGTCTTAGCCACTGGGGGCAGTTCAACGCTCCACTCAGATGACACCCTTTCCCTGCCCTGGGGTGTCCCATCTCCGATATGCTCCTAAGAGTAAAAATAACCGTGGTTTCCTGATCCACTTTTCTCCCAACACTGGGAATTACGGGAGATCAGGAGTCATAAGTAACTCACTGCTATATCTTCAGAACCTGCTCTAGGGCTGCTGTGTGGACTCTCTCAATAAACATGTGCTGGACACGATGTCCCCTCACCATCTGTTCCGCATTCCCCCTGAATTTTGCTTGGTGGCCTACAGGGTTCCAGGGAGCAGCTTTAACCTCAGACTCCAAAGGAATAGAGTCAGCTTTAGACAGAAGCCAACTCTGACAAGGGCAGAGCAGAGAGAGAAGGCAAAGTCTTGGTGACCTAACTGAGGAGCTGGATCAGCCCTTGCCTGAAGCCAATCCTTCTGAAATTTCATTTCTGTAAAGCTATTATAGTCCTTTTACTAGTTTAAGTAATGGTTTCTATTATCTGTAACTCAAAGCAGCAAGAAAAAGCAAATGAATAAAGGAAATGACAGTCCCATGTATGCATATATTTCCTCCAGCCTTCTTGCACTTGTAAGAAAAAGACAACTTTCTTTCCAAGATAACACCCGCCCCTCCTTCTCCAGAAGCTGGTTCCATTAATTATCCCATTTTCTCTCTTGTATGTTTGACCCTTCCCTCCCTGGTGGCTTCCTCCTCCCTACCTTCAGACATTCTCAGGTCTCCCCAGACTCTAAAGCTTTCTCAGCACCTCCTGAAGCTGCAGGCCCACCTCTTCCTTTTACTTCCAGCCCTTCCCATGGAATCACTGATCCACCGCCTCCACGGTGGATATTCATGGAAGGCTCACGACCCAGGAGAGATGGGTGACCCTGGTCCGTGCTGCCTGTTCTGTGCAAGGAATGGCCACATGGCTCCAGGGTTCAGGTGTCAGGGTCTCAGGACGGGCCACCCAGGTTCTCAGGGCCCACGGGGAGCTGGACGCCGAGGGCATCGTCCATCAGAACCTCTCCTGGAGAGAGAACCACTCTGTGTTCAAGATGTAGCTCCCTCATCCAGGAGGGTTCAGGCCATCAGCCCTGTCCTAGTCACCCCTAGTCCCACCAACCAGGTGGGATGAGGCAGGGCTTGTCTGGATCCCAGCAGGCAGGGGAGAGCCAGAGGGGTTGGAAGGCTCACTCTGGGGCCTTGGGTCCTGGGCCACGGGAACAGCTCACAGCAGGAAACAAGAGAAGCCCTCCTGGGTAACAGGCAAGCAAGCCACCAGGCTGAGCTCCAGAGTTCCAGCCCCTCAGGCGACAGAGGCAGAGGCCTCTTTTGGAAACAATGTTTTCATACTCTGGTTTTTCTCTAAGTGTGTCCTTGCTGCTCCTGTAGATGAAGCCTGATCCCTGCAAGAGATGTCAGCCCAACGGCTAATGCGATGCTCGGATCACAAGAAAAGGGTGCGTTTGTCCAGCCCAGACCAGGGCGAGGAAACAGGGAGAGAACCCCAAGACATCCCAAGAGTACAGGAGACAAGGTCACAGCCAGGAATCCAGCAGCTACCCCTGCCTGGAGAGTTTCTGGGGCTCCATGTGCAGAAGTGAAGCCTCTTCCAGGCGCAGTGCAGGTAACTGCCCACCCAAGCAGAGAGAGGTGTGGGCGAGAAAGAGGAGATGCCAGAGGGAGGAGGGCGCAGGGCAGGGGACCGAGTCCGGGAGCAGAACAAGCTGGATCTCCAGGCAGGCCGACACTAAGCCTCAAAGCCCAGACCACCCCCACCGTTCTTGTCAAAAGCTCCACAGCTCCAGTGGGACCTCTGAGCAGAGATGGCACACCCCACACCCTGCCCACCCAGACTCATCCCTGCACGTCACCCCACTCAGGGGCCACAGAGACACACACCAAAGCTGCTTTGTGGTTCCACCTGTTTTATGCTGAAATACACATGGGCTGATCCAACACGGTTCGGTTCAGGGGAGAAAGAAATGATGACAGCGGCTGATCCCAGGGCTCGACGTCGCCAGCACTTGGTTGTGTACACCAGTCCATCTGCCCACCCCGGCAGGACGGTCAGGCTTGAACATCTGGAGGAGCTCTACCGAGTGGGGCAGAAGAGGAAGCCAGTCCTGGGCCCAGGAGTCCTCAGCTGAAGGGCTTCACCAGCTTCATGGCAGCATAGTTCTGGAGAGAGGGAGGGAGGAGGCAGGGACAGGTGATGACAGCTGCTGGGGAAAAGGAGCTGGGAAAGGATTCAGCCACCGCCTGGACCTCGCACTCACCACCCCCGGCTACACTCCACACTCCACGCTGCACCCTCCCAGCCGCGCCATCACACCGCACTCTCCTGGGGGGGCCACGGCGCCTGAACTGCTGTCTTCTCCCCCATCAATCAGGGCCCACTCCCAGCTTCCGCTCTGCCAAGAGGACTCTGCCCCAGCCAGGCCAGGCCCGGCCCCTTCCATCAGACAGGTGGCCTGAGGGCACGGCTGGGATTCTCCGCACCCTCCTCCCAACTCCCCACACAGGAACCCTGGGCTCGTTGGCCCCCGTGCTCCTGCCCCAAAAGCAGAGAAAGCGGTGAGGGCAGGGGTGGTGTACAAGGATGACGGCAACACAGGCCAGCCCTGGAGACGGGTCACCCCTGATTAAGCCCTGGCTGCTGCAGGACTGACAGGAATCTCCCCTCCCCACTCCTCCCCCCAAAACCATGAAAACACATACAACACAACACAGGGCTCCTAATTGGGACAGTATGTTCCCCAGCGCCGCCCGGGAAAGCCAACTCTGGAAACAAAGCCGCCGCTCCTTCCCCGCCAGATCGCCTCCTGCCTCCCCACGCTGGCCCTGCTCCCGGCGGCCTCTGGGGGAGAGCTGGGGGTGGGGAACAGACAGGCTGCCCTCCTGTCCCCCTCCCGGGGGAATTTCCAAGGTGGTGGGAGATTAGGTCAACGCAGGGGAGGAGGTGGCCGCAGGCACCTCTCCACCAAGGCCTCCGCCCCTAAAACCTGCAAGCTAGGCTAGGGGCACGGGTCCGGCACCCACCAGGTGACCAAGCCACGTGGACATGCCCAGCTTGTCGCAAAGGACTCCAGGTGAGAGCATCAGTAGCCTCAGGTCCAGGCTGCCCCTTTCGCCCCAAAGCCCTCACCTGGGAGCCGAGCCCACACACCAGCCCTGGGAGAGAAGGCAGGGCTGGTATTTGAAGAGGACAATTTCCAGCCGATCTCAAAAGAGACAGATGCTGCCGTTGGGGACCCAGGAGACAGGGAAGAGGCTCTGCCCAGGGCCTGCCCACGGGGTCTGGGGCTGTGGCTGCCCCTGAGATGAGACAGGGTGGCAGGCTGGAAGTGACTGGAAATCTTCCCTCTGTCTCTCAGCCAGGCAGCTGGGACCTCCTTCCCCCTTCCCCAGGTCCCTGAGGCCAGTCTGCTGCCCAAGCGCCTTGCAGGGTGGGGCCTGGCTGGCCAGGGGCGGGCCCAGGCATAGCCGGGGGACGGGCATGTTCCATGGGGCCCAGCCCTGCCCTCCCCTTGGCTCTTCAGCAAAAGGCTGGCTTGACATGCAGCCCCCTCCCCACACAGCTCCCCTCCGCAGGGTGCTAGTCACAGCAGGTCAGTGCTGACCCAGCCTAGCCCTGCCTCATGCCAATGGGGATCCCGCCCGAGGTCACTCGGGGAGTCACTGGCAGAGCCAAAAGCAGCTACCAGCTCAAGACTCCACATGGAGCTCCATCTCACACAACAGTGATGCTCAGACCAAAATGTTCCTGGGGCAGATTCTCCCCAACAGACCTGCAGCTGGCCCGGGGCTCTGCAATGCTCCCTGGAGCTGCTGCAGCTTGCTTCTCAGACCACCTGCTCAGGAGTATGGGTACCCCAGCTCGCCTTGCCCGCACTCTCTGGCCCGGCCTCACCGTGGAGCACGAGGCTGCACCCTGTTCTCTCCGTGGTCCTGGCGTCACCATGTGTCCTCGTGGACTGCCAGCTTACCAGAGCACCAGCTTCACCGCCCTCTCCATCACCCACAGAATTCACCCTTGGCTCCCGGACACAAAGTCTTTGCCTGAACCGAACAGTGGCTGGGCATAAACAACACGAGAGCAGGTGAGCCTGAGGAGAGGCCAGCGAGGGGCACTGCGCCTCCCCAACCTGGCCACCTGCGCCTGCTCCAGGGGCAGAGACACGGAGGTGGAGCCCTGGGCCTGACCCCTGAGCCCAGGTCACTGCCAGGGCAGCTAAGCTCTAGGCACCACTTGCGCTTGCCCTTCCAGGGCCCAGTAGCTAACCCTGTGTTAATAGCTGTAACTTGTCTTCCTTCACTAAGAGGGACCCCAAACCAAACAAGCCTGACCCCCATAATCTCACCCACCCCTGAGCCTCAGGCCTATCTGGCCAATGTAAGTCTTCTTGCTGAGCCTCACAACAGTCTCAGCCGGCTCAAAGAGCCTGGCCCTCAGCCCGACCCATGGCCACCTGGCTCTAGACCCTCCTTTGGGACTCAGGGCCCAGAGGGTGCCAGGGCCTGGGTGTCCAAACCAGAGCTCCCCTCCACTACTCCCACAGTTCATGGTATCAGGGCCTGAAGGGGATGCTCTGCCATTTGAACTGTCTTCCTCAGGAGGCTCTCTGCTGGTACCAGGCCTCCCCAGCTATGCCGGGAGAGATGCTTGGGACCCCTCCTTCTCCTGGAGGACTCACACAGGCGAGTAATTCCACTGCCCGCTGTGGGGACCGTGCACCTGGCTGGCGGCCTGCTGCTGACCAGGGCTGTGGCCAGAACCCCAGCCTGCGAGCTATACACAGACTGCCCTGCAGCCCTGAGCTGGTCCCTCCCCTCTCTGGGTGTCCGTTTCTTTCCATTCAAGTCAGGGCGACGTGGAGTTGATCACAGCGTTCCTCTACTTGTACAAGGATTTTAATTTTCCATATTAAAAAGTTTTAGACATTTAGAAGAGATTAAAACTCAGGTATCAGCTTGGGAACCTGTGCTCCCTCCAAGGTCTGAGGTTCCAGAGATGCTCGGGGGCTGCCGTGAGAACCCAGGAAGCCTGAGCAGGGGAGACAGCTCCAGATTCTCTTCCTTCGGGAGGGGCCCGCGGAGCTGGCTCAGCAGCCCCAACTCACGAGGCCCTGGTCACTCTCTGTCAGGCATCAGCTGGCTTCTCAGGCACTCAGCAGGGGGAAGGGGCCCGGTGTTCACCGCGCCGGGGAGAGGCTCCTGGCGTACCCCCTCCTCACTCACACTCCGCCCATGCCACCCCGCTACAGGAAACGGCACACTCTCAGGTCTTCAGATGGACACTAAGAGCCTCTCCAGGTCCTCAGCAGGTGCGATCCTCACAGACAGAGGGCCTTCCCCTCTTCTCTGCCATCCACACCTTCCCTTCCCTTCCTGACCAAGCTCCACACCTTCCTTCAACAAGGTTCTCCTACCCACGCCTGCCCAAGGACCTCCCCTTCTGCCCTTGATTACACAGCCCGTCACCCTGAGCACACTGTCTCCCCATTAAGGGCAAGAACTCAGAACTCCCCAAGGGTCTCCTACCAGACTGGGGACCCCCAGAGTAGGGCCCCTGTCTCCTTCCTCAGACCACAGACACCCCAAGGACAGAGGCTGCCTCTCCATCAGACACCCAGTGCACTGGAGGACAATGAGAGGCTCCTCTGAGACCAGGAGCTGCTGGAGGTCAAGAGCGGTGCCTCCCACATCAGACCAGGAGATCCCTTGAGACAGGGTCTGTGCCTCTCCCCTCGGACCAGCTTACCGGGAAGGAATAGACAAAGATGCCCAAGAAGAGCAGGAAGACGAAGAGAACGAAGAAGAGGATGATGGCGCACCGGAACCGCCGCCACAGGATGAACTTCATAGTCTTGTACGGGGAGGTGAACCAGAGGAAGGAGGTGTCAGGCCGCCTGCAAGGGAGATCCCAGGGGTCAGCAGGGTACCCCCACCAGTGCTGCTCCCTCTGAGCCCTGCTCCCAAATCGCCCTGGCCCTTCCTACCCAGCCCCCCAGACCCACCCAGCCTCCAGCCCCTGGCCCCTGGCCCCAGACCCAGCCCTTTGCATCAGCACCCCCTTCTTCTCCCAGCCTTTGCTCCAGCCTGAGCCCGCCCGCACCCCCCTTCTCTTCTTGATGCCGTCAAACCCTGCACACCTCAGGGACCCAGTTATCAACCACCCTGTCCAGATCACCTTCCCTGCCACTCTCCCCTTCCTGACACAGGACTTGTCACAGACTGGGAGACTGGACAGAGCTTCAAGGGGCTCCACTTTCACTGAGCTATGGCCCATGAGCTCCAGATAAGCTCAGCCACGGGCCTAGATGCACGTGGCTGGTCCACGGTCAGGGAAGGATGGCAGGAACTGAACCCAGAAAGGTGATTGTCTCTCACAACCAAGAACCTCAGATCCTTCCCCTAGATCAGTCTCACAGTTCAAAGAGCAGGAAAGTTTTGTGTCTCAGTAATGGCCACTCTGATATGCACTTGCATGCCGCTGGCTCTCCTGGGTCTCCCTCATCTTTCCACCCAGATCCCAGCATCCTTGGGTAGGGATGCCTCTCGCTGCTCGGCCAGCCCGTGGCAGTCAGGACAGCGCTGTGACAAAGTGGGCTGTCTGTGCTGAGTGTGACTTGAGCTAAGCAGGCCATGGGAAATGCAGCCCGACCACTCACACACACACCCCTACCACCAAGAGCCGTCTTTCAGGCTCCAATAACTGTCTTCAAGGTTCTACATCCACTGGATTGGCTTATATCCCTTATCTGGGAGATAGGGGAGGCAGAGGCTAGGCCCCCATTTCACAAATGGGAAAACTGAAAGACCTTTTGAAAGCCACACTGACACCACAAGAGAGCCACAGAGCAGCTTGTTCAGGGGAAAGACCTCGGTCAGGCTCCAGAGCCAATCAGACCAGGTGTGAGAATTTCAGCTTCGCCACTTTCCTTGGAATGACCTTATTTAATTTTGCTGCGATTGTTTTCTCATCTGTAAAGTGAGGATGCTAAGATGAGCCAGCAGGGACGGTTCCATACACAAGCCATATGACAGCATGCTTGGCCTGCAACCACCAGTTACTCAACAGTGCTTGCTTCTGGAATGAACTGATGAGCCCAACCTGTTCTGGAAGGATGTCGGTCACCTGCTCCCTAACGATGCGTACCCTGGGATAAGTCACACCCCTCTCTGGGCCTTGGGACCTCTGTGTGGCTACGCAGTGGGTGCCTCCTCTGCTGTGGTACGCCTCCCAGTCCCCTTGGCCGTCAGCGGTCAGGGGCCGGGCACCAACCTTGGGTCCTCGAGCTTGGGGTTCATGTTAGGTTCATCCCGGCCGTGGCCGGCTGGCCGCTCCTCATGCTCACTGTCTGTTACAATCTCCAAGGTCATCTCCAGCTTGCCCTGTGGGGACAAGGGGGACCTGATCAGGGACACAAAGGCTCTGCACCATGGCTTGGAGAGGAGCCAGGCCAGGACAGATGTCAAGGTCACTTTATGATTTTTTTTTGAAAAATGATACAGGGTAATCTGATCATAAAAGTACCTGTTCCTAGCAGAATATGTAGGAACTACAGAAACATATAAAGAAAGGATACTGTCACTCATACTTTTTCTATATAAAGATAAGCACTCCTAATATTTTATTCATCAGACTTATTTTTCTCTGCAAGTATATGAAATACCATACTGTGTATATTTAGTTCTATAGCTTGTTTCTTTCACTTTAAATAATATATTTTATTATTATATAATTATACACTCTTTAAAGTTTGCTTTTAATGCTATAAAACATTCTATACAATGGTTGACCATAATTTATTTAGTAAACTAGTTATTTTGGTCATTTAGGTTGTTTCCAACTCTTTGTTGTTATAAAAAATGCTGCAACAAACACCCTAGAACCGTAAAGTTTTAATTTAATGAGGTTATTTCTTTAGGAAAGATTTTAGAAGTGGGATAAAAAATTTCAAATGGAATAAATATTGCTAAGTTTCAGGTTATATATTACTAAATTGTTTCCCCAAATGTAAAATCATTAGCCTGCCGGGCAAAAGTAAATGTGGGGGGGGTCTCTCTGCATCCTCGCTAGCAATGAGCATTTCTGTTTTTAAAACATTCTACTATAATACATTAAAGATGTTTTCACATTTTAAAATATTCCTTTATGTAATTACTAGGGGAAATGAACTTTCTTAAATTTTAATGGCCACTCTACTTCTTTGTGTATTATCTATGCATGCACTGCACTTACTTTTCTTTTGAGACATTAGTGTTTCTTATTAATTGTTATAATTTGTTACAGAACATGGATATTTTATTTCAAGGGCCACTTGAGGGGTTGGCTGGCTGCTTGCTGTTTCCAGGTATAACTGATCCTTGAACCACACAGGTTTTAACCATACAGATCCACCTATACACGCATTATTTCAATAAATATACAGTTGGCCCTCATTTGCAGGTTTCAATCCATAGATTCCACCAACCATGGAGGGCCAATTATTAGACTTGAGCATCTGTGGATTTTGATGTCCACAGGGCTCCTGGAACCAATCCCCGTGGATACTGAGGGACAATAATAAACTGTCATTTACTTCCCCTGCAGAGGCAGGACTATTCCTCATGGTCCCCAGTCACACCCCTGGACAGACTGTTACAATCTCTGGGCGGAGGGAATAGTCCCTCAAGGATGGTCCCTGGTAGGGTCCTGCTTAAATGGGAGTGGCATGATGCCTGTCCTCTTCCAGAAGTCTAGCCAAAGGGGGACCCAGGACATGATCACTGTGAAGGCCACAGAGCAGGGTATAAACTAAAAAGGATCCACAGAGATTAAGGCCCCTTTGATTTAAACAGGCTTCACTGGGATACAACCCTCAAGGAGAGGAAGGCTGGAAAGTGGCAAGGGAGAGGGACAGGTCTTGGAAAACAGACAGGGAGGGCAGGAGATAGGGAGAGGAACACGCCTGTGCCTGTGATTTCTATGGAGGAGTCACCGGTCAGAAGGAGCTGACTCACCGCCAGGATCTTCTTCTCACCCTCATCTGCCACACAGGGCCACCAGCCCTTCACTGTCTTCTGTTCAAAAAGAGACACGAACCGCTCTGGGTGGAGAGTGTCTTCCAGCTGGTCCACGGAGCACTTCTCGGCTGTCTTGGCGGGCTTGGGCATGCGGTTGAGGTCCAGCTGCAGAGAGCCTGTGGCAAAGAAGGGTGCTTTAGCCGGCTCTCAGTCACTGCCAGCTTAGGGCCACCCTGTGGCTCAAACTCCACTCTCCATCCATCACCTCTCACTCCATCTGTTCAGCTTCCCATCCATCTGTTCCCGCATCCATATGCCCACTAGTCTGCCCTTATTGATTCGCCCTTAACAGGGCTTCCCAACTGCTCAATTATTCATCTTACTATACTTACTTAGTATACTATACTGTATAGTATAGTATATATATGATAAAATTGTTATTTTAACCATTTTCAAATGTATACTTCAGTGGCATTAATTACATTCACAACATGCTGCAACCACTCCTACTACCTATTTCTAAAACTTTTTCATCCCCCCAAACAGCAACTCTATAACCATTTAGTAATAACTCCCACTTCCCCTCACCTCAGCCCTGCTAACTTCAAATCAATTGGGTTGTCCGAAAGGTTCATTTGGGTTTTCCTATAACATCTTACTTTCTGTCTCTATGAAAAAGTCTATTCTAGATGGCTCATATCAGTGGGATCATGAAAGTTTTTCCTTTTGTATCTGGCTTATTTCACTTGGCATAGTTAGTTGTCCAGACTCACCCATGTTGCAGCATGCATCAGTACTTCATTACTTTTGTGGTTGAGTAACATTCCATGGTGTGTACATACCACATTTTGTTTGTCCATCCATCTACTGACAGACACTTGAGTTGTTTCCACCTTTTGATTCCTGTGAATAATGTTGCTACGGACACTGGTGTGCAAGTGTCAGCCCCAGTTTTTAGTCCTTTTGGGTATGTAACCAGGAGTAAAACTGCTAGGTCATATGTTTAGCTTTTTGAGGAACTGCTCAACCTTTTTCCAAGCAGCTGCACCATTTTACATTCATGCCACCAATATACGAGTGTTCTGATTTCTCCACATCCTCTCCAACACTTGCTATTTCCCATTTTTTGTTTTTGTTCTTGCTTTTGTATAGGTACAAGTGTTATCTCACTGTAGTTCGCCCACCTGCCCGCCTAGTTAGCCACACGGCTATCTTTCCATACTGCTTCATCTGCTCATCTATTTTATCCCTCTTCTCCCAGAATAGATCCATCTCTTGGGTTAAGCCACATGAAAATTCTGATATTCAATTATCTTTGATGTATAAAAACAGTAATTTCATGTGGTTTCACCTAATCCAATTCCAACAACATGATGAAATCAGTGGCACTGGAGCACAGGTTACTGAAGGGATTAAGGGAGAGAGATAAATCTAAAAAACATTTCCTGAGGCCAAACTAAAGAAATTTTTGAATACCACACAAAGGACATTAGACTATTTTTCGGTGTGGAATGCTCAGTTACTGCAAGTATTCAGTGACTGCATCTATTTTTGTAGTTTTTTTCTTTCCCTTCCTCCATTTACCCTTCCATGCAGCTATCTGCTTTAACTATCTATATCCCTCGATAGCTAACATTTGCTGAGCACTATATCTCCATTAATCACGGTATTATTCCATCCATAGTTGTTCAACTCTATATCAGCACTAATCTATGTACCCATCTACATATCTCTCCATCCCTCAACTACAGATGAATGTTTATTTCTCATTTTAAATATGGTCTCAATATAATATTAAGTAAAAATCAGGACATTAAATCATATATATAGTTTAATATATTGAATATTATATTAAATCTATATATAAATTATATTAATATATTATATATATTAAACTATATATAGGATATCTACATACACCATGTAGCTACATAAACCATATAAACTATATATAGTGTGTATATTCTACACGTATATCTACATATACGTGTGTGTTAGTTGCTTAGTTGTGTCTGAGTTGTGTCTGACTCTGCGACCCCATGGACTGTACACACCAGGCTGCTCTGGCCATGGAATTCTCTAGGCAAGAATACCGGAGTGAGTTGCCATTCCCTTCTCCAGGGGATCTTCCCGATTCAAGTATCGGACCCAGGTCTCCTGCATTGCAGGCAGATTCTTTACCTTCTGAGCCACCAAGGAAGCCCACATATATCATATATATCTACATATATACTATATATAGCATATATACATATATACACATATATAGTATATCTACATAAGGTTTATATTATATAACATATATATAGTATAGTATATATATAGTATATCTACATAAAGTAAACTATATATATTCACATAGATAGTATATCTACATAAAGTTATACATAAAGACTATAAGGAAACACAGGATTATTTCTTGATGGCAAAATTTCTACATCTTAACTATTACTTTTAAAATAAAATCAATTAATATTCAAGAGAAGTAAAATATGTAATTAAAAAATACATTATGAAGAGGGAAAAGGAAATGTTTTAATAATGCTGTAAGCTGCTAAAAGGGTAGATCTTAAAATTTCTCTTCACAAGAAGAAAAAATTAACTAATAACCAGCTTATTGTGCTGCTCCTTTCACAATAGATACAAACATCAAGTTAAAAGAAATCTGTGGAGTTAAAAAGTAGCAGTTTTAGTGGCTTTATTTTTAAAAACACAAAATGATCCTGTTTAATTTTATGTTGAACACCATTTTTTTCATTCAATAGAATGCAGTTTTTGTTTGTCTTATTAAAATTGGTTTTCTATGTTCATCCACTGCTGATTCATGTCAATGTATGGCAAAAACCACCACAATACTGTAAAGTAATTAGCCTCCAATTAGAATAAATTAGTTAATTAAAAAATAAAATGAGGGGAACAAATGGTTTTCTAAAGTCTCATCTCATAAAGGCAGGAATGATAGATGGATACTAAAAAAAAAAATTTAGTCTGCAAACAAAAGAGGTTCTATAAAAAATTAAAAAGCAATTGAAATGGTGAAATTATTTGTAATGTGTCCTTACTATATAAAAAGCTCTGAAAATTGATAATAAAAGAGGAACATCCCAAAACCATGGAAAAGAAAGTAACAGCAACAATATAGATAATAAACATGTTTTTAAAGTTCTACCTTACAAATAAAGAAGAAATGCAAAGAAAGATAAAAATGAGGTGTCCTATTCGCAATTTTTTTAAAAAAAGATAACACCTGTAGCAAAAGTTTAAGGAAAATAGTGCCCTTGGGCAAATAGAGAACAGATGATAATATAAAAATGTAAAATCTATCTAGAGGGCAACCGAACAAAACGTTTCAAAAACCACTCTGACTAAAAATCTGCTTCTTAAAATTTAGGGAAGATATGCACAAATGGTCCAAAGATGTAAGCCTAGGCTGTCACTCATACAGGAAAGCTTGGAAATGAGCTGAGAGGGCACCGAGGCGGGATTAGTGAGACAGGAGAGGATCCATCTGTTCTACGGGTCATCCGGTGGACATTAAGTACCATGATGCAGATGCAAACGGAGATGGATAACTCCTGACAGTAGGAACATTCTTAATGTATTGTTTCCCACAAAATCAAGATAAAATAGTTTGTGTAACATAAACCCATTTTGCTATCTCTATGCCATACATAAATGTGTATATACATGTATAAAATACACATATAGGGCTTCCCCGGTGGTCCAGTGGTTAAGAATCCACCTGCCGATACAGAGGACACAGGTTTGATCCCTGGTCCACATAGACCCCACTTGCAGCAAAGCAACTAAGTGAGCTGCATGGGTCACAACTATTGAAGCCCATGCATCCTACAGCAGTGCTCCGCAACAAGAGAGGCTGTTGCAAAGAGAAGTCCATGCACCGCAACAAAGAGTAGCCCCCACTCCCCGCAGCTAGAGAAAGCCCATGCAGTGCAGCCAAAAAATAAAATAAATAATAGACAATTTTTTTAAAAAAAATTTTGGAAAAATATGCATATAACACATATTTGCTTGTATAAGAAATAATATACCCCAAAGTATCAGTGGAGGTTATCTCTGGGTAGTGAGATTATAATAAAACAGAGAAGGGAGGCATTGCTTATCTCCACTTTCTGATGTGGCTACAGAAATTATGTAATAAGTAAAAGAACAAAAGTCCAACTTGGTGCTGTGATGCTAACACCCTGAATCTTTTACAGTGATGCCATGGAGCAGTTCTCAGTCCTCCAGGTGCAGGGGACCAGGCTGGGTGTGGGGGTCATGGGGTGAAGAGCAGCCTGACAGGCTGGAAGCCCTCTTCCCCATTCCTGCTGGGGCTGCTCCTCAGAATGTCCTCTGTGGTGAGGGCGGGGTGGGGGGGGAGGGCCAAGAGCTCGGCTAATCCTGCAGTCACGAGCTACTCAAGGAGGGCTCCAGTGATTCATCCAAGCCTGCCCTGCTCCTAGGTGGCAAAGCAGAACAGAACCCAGGACTCCTGACCTCCTGGAAGGCCTTTTTTACAGGCTCGCTATTTTACTGAGATGAAATTCACATAATAAAATGCACCATTGTAACCATTTTAAAGTGTACAATTCAGTGGCTTCTAGCATATTCCCAGAGTTGTGCCACCACTATCTAATTTCAGAATATTTTCATCATCCCTAAAAGACACATCGTACCCACCTCTCTTCCCAGTCCCAGTAACCACTTTCTGTCTCTGTAGATTACATATTGTGGGCATTTCCTATTAAGGAGTCATACAATATTTGTCCTTTTGTGTCTGACTTCTTTCACTTGGTGTGTTTTCAAGGTTCACACATGGTGTACCATGAGTCAGGATTTCACGTCTCTCGTGGCTGAATAACATCCCATTGTACGGATGCACCACAACTTTCCAGAGGCCAGACAGCTAGTGACAGCCAGCCCCTGCCCACACTGTCTTCACCCTGCGCTCCCCTCTCTTCCTTCTGCAGTCCCACCATCCAACATGGCCCACCGTTCAATGCCACCTCCGCTGGCAGGCCACCCTGCTGGCCACTCCGATCCCCGTGGGGCCTCTCTGTGTCACTAGCCTCCCTCAGCACCAGGGACCAGTGACTGTGAGCTCCCTGATCCTCCTGCCAGCCCTGCCGAGAGGCCCGAGACACACACCTGCCCAGCAGGGACTCTGGGACACGCTGATAGGCAGAATGGTAGACTGGAAATGGTGCTCACCCAGAAAGTCATCAAAGGAGAACTTGTCATTGTCCCAGATCTGGAATACCACTCGTGCGGGGATCTTGCTCTCTGTCTTGTCCAGCCTCCAGAAAGCATCCTGGCCCAGAGGAGAAGCAGAGAAGGAAGCAGGGGAACAGAATTAGAGAAGGGCAGTGGTCCCTTCCCACCTGGAGGACTGCCTAGAGGAGGCAGTGTAGGGGGACATCCCTGAGGGACTTGCCAGAACCAGGTCCTGGCAAGAAGACTGCTGAGACCCCAGAGGGCAGTGTTCACTTGATATAAGGTAGTTCCTTTAATGCTCACAATTCCATGAGTCAAGGTTTCATTCCTGTCTTACAGATGATGAAACAAAGGCTTGGAGAAGTAAAGAATTTGCCTAGGCTCTGACAGCTAATAAAAACATTAATATTGCATTTCTTATTCGCCAGCCCTTTTCCACTATAAAGTAATTTATCCTTCCAATGACCTATGAGAGAGATACTATCCTTATAGCTGAGGAAATCACAGCAAGTAATTTATCCAAGTTACCCAGTTAGGGAGTGAGTGGTAAGCTGGATTCCAACCCAGGCAGTCAGGTTCCGGGGTTCCACTCTCACCTCTTAATCATGTTCTACCAGTGTGATCTTAGGAACAGGGTGGGCTGGCTGGGAACATGGAGGGCTCCCCCCAAAACACTGTTGCAAGGAACTAGCACTGAGGAGCCCACCTTCATCTCCAAGAGCTTACCCCAGGGCAGATCAAAAGCCCCCAGTGCTAGGAAGGTCACCAGCCCATTGCTCCCCCGCCTCCCCCTCCCTCAGAACAATCAGCCTGGACTAGCATCATCTGGGCCTTCCCTCCATGGAGGCCTCGGGAAGCAGCTGAGCGTGGGCCCTGGGCTCGCTGAGGCCTGGATCCATCTCTGGGCCAGTCACACTCAACCCAAAGGACTGTCCCTGGGGCCTTCCTGCTCACACCTGTTCTCTGTCCTCTGTAGCTTTACCCGAGTGGGTAGCAAGGAGAGGAATCATTCTGACCACATCCTGCTGATGGTGGGTGCCAGGTCACAGCAAGGGTCGGGACCCAGTCTCAGGGGCACAGACTCCACAGGAGTCGGGGAGCACTGCTGACCACCCAGGGTTTGCCTGGGCCCGGGTGCCCCATACCTAGCCTTGGTGGCCACTGCAGATCACACGGACCCCACAGAGCTCCCGCCCCAGTGCCCCCGGAGGAACCACCACCTTGCCAAGCAGCCGGCTGCAGCCTGGACTGCTGCTGGGCTGGGGAAGGAGCTCCGGTCCCCACCTGGCCCCTCGCCCCCGGCCCCCATCTGGTGCCTCCCCCGCTCCGGGCCCCAGCCCTCCTGCAGGTGCCTCCCTCCTCTGGCGGGGCTTTTATGGCCAGCTCCACAGGCCCGCCTGCACAGGCCGCCAGCCTCCCCCATGCCTCTGGCCGGCCCGGTTTATGGGCTCAGTAATGAGCCAGAGGTTCAAACGGCCCCTGGTNGCCTCTGGCCGGCCCGGTTTATGGGCTCAGTAATGAGCCAGAGGTTCAAACGGCCCCTGGTGGGAGCAGCTGGGCTGGGGCTCCAGCCTGGGGAATGGCCCCCCAGGTCCCAGGCACTCATTATGCTCCCAGTCTGGGCCCTTTTACTAGCTGTTTATTTGCAGGGTGGGTGCCTGACGCGCAGGCAGGCCCCGGTGGGTGTGCTGGGCTCCAGGTGGGGAGCCGGCCGGGGCAACCAGCGGTGGTTCAAAGCCGCCGGATGAAAGGAGACCTTGTACTTTATGACAGTCTCGTCTGGTTAATGGGGTCCCTGGAGGGCCTGCCTGCCAGAGGCCCTGAACCCCTCAGCAGAGGGCTGGCTCTGCGGCAGGACCAGGACACCAGAGGCTTGCGGTGCCCCCGCACTAACCCCCCAGCAGACTCAGGCCCCTAGCCCAGACCAGCTCACTGGGGCCCCACTGCGGGCATGCCTCCCCTGCCTCCCAGGGTCTTTTCTCCCAGAGGGACCTGCTGGCCCTCTCGGGTCAAACCAGGTCCTCCCCCGCTCTCCTGGTTGTCTGCAGAACCCTGAGAGTGTTTCCAATCTTCTCTTCTGAGCTCTGCCACCCCTCACTCAGCTGCCCTCTCCGGAGCCTGGCACCGCAGAGGTGGGAGCCCCTCAGCCCTCCCCACCTGCCCTGGGCCCCCCCAGACCGCCCTTCCTCCTCCCCACTTAGCATCCCTCCTGGCCTTCCCATTCTCTCAGGACCACCCCGGCCAGGGCATCGGGCCACCGGTCCCTTCCCTCGGCCCCTCTCTTCCTCTGGAGCTCCACCGTGACCCAGACTCCCTCCTTCCCTGCTCGTGACTGAAGGGCAGAAATGAAAGCCCATTGTAGCTGGATCGGAGCCACCTCAAACTCTATCGGCAACCCCCACTGGCTCTCAGCACTGCTGGGTACCCTCTAGTAGGTCTCTCTCTTCCCTTTCTCTCCCTCGCTCAGTGTAATAGCTGCTTCCAGCCTTTTTCATTCGTCTCAGTCACCCGCCACAACACCAGGAGACTCTCTCTTTTCCTACTTTGCGGAAAAAAGCGGAAGACTCTGCTTCCTGCAACTCCGTGCCCCCATCCCCACCTGTCACAACCGGGAGGTGGTCTGGCCTCCCATGTGAGCAGGCCGATCGGCATCCCGCAGCCTCGGTTTCTCAGCCACAGCTTGCCCCGTGGAGGGCTTGGTGAGCATGGACAGTGGCCCGCCAGAGGCCCCCATTCCCCATCCTCTCTGTCCACAGCAAGGGCAGGCGCTGTTTGTGTGACTTGGAGCTTGCCCAACAGACGCAGCCTTTGCTGTGCTAGGAAAATGTGTTTCAATAGACAAATACAGTGAGCACAGGCAAACAAGATGAGACCTACAAACAGGCTAGGCTCTCCTTGACCATACAGCATCCAGGGCTTACCGCTGTCTGCTTTCCAGTAGGCACCAGGCAGCAATCCCCGGGTGAAAGAATTCATTTAGCCTTAGTTAGCCCTTATTACTTTTGCTTGATGGTTTCAGAATGTTCACCGGAACATTCCGGTTTGTCTGAAGTGCAGCGCTGTGTGTTGGGTTGGGAAGGGGTCACGGGAACCGAGGTACATTACATATTTCCCTTCCTGAAGCCATACAGCTGCTCCAGACTGAAAGAGGAGTCACAGAAGTTTGCCCCTGATAAGAAGAAGCCATGCACCACCTCAGGAAGGAAGTGGGACCCTCAGAATCTCAAGTCCAGATGGGCATTCACACCGTCAATCAAGCAGGTGAGCACCTCCAGGCAAAACAGATTCTAGGTGGGAGGCATGGTTAGAGGCTCCAGCAGAGATGCCCACCGCCTCCGGGCAGCCACTGCCCATGGCATCCTCCTCACTATGCTCTGGGGGCTGCTTCCTCAGGGCTGCCACCTGCATAGGACCCGCCTGCCTCAGGAGGAAAGAGTTTATGGCCCAGATGAGGCCTAAACTAGGAGATGCGGACCTACAGAGAGCTGAGAGCTCTGGAGCAGCCCCTTGACCCCAGCTGATGCACCGGGTGGACCTCCCCAGGCCTGAGAGACACCAGCCTGGACAGCAGCCCAGGCCCCAGGCATGGAAATGGGAGAAAGGAGGAAGCCGTGGAAACTTGGCTAAGCAGCACCTGATCCTATCAACAAGCTGACCTCAGGCCAGCCCAGCCCTGTGGGGCCAGCCACCCTAGGGGGTAGCCCCCACCACGCCCTCTGATGACCTTGCTGAGTTTCCCTACAATGTCCTCCCGACTCTGACACCAAGGCCTTCCCTGCTACTTGAATCGTTAGGATTTGAACTTAATTACATATAACAGTGGGGGCCTTGCAGGGTGGGGTGGTGGTGGGGTGGCAGCAATGCTAACGATGGCAATGGTGGCAGAAGAGGAAGGAGGAGTGGGCATGGAGGACACGGTGGTGGCGGTGAAGGGACAGTGGTGGTTGTCATGCCATGATGGCAGATGTGGTTCCAACAGCAGTGGGACAGGCTGAGAACAGGACCGAGACACAGCTGTAACAGGTGGTGTGATCAGGCTGACAGCTGGCAGCCCTGGGACCAGCGCCGCTGGGGCGGGGATGACACTCACCTTCTTGGAGACGGTGCAGACTTGCTCAGCTGGCAAGTAGTCGAAAGGGAAAACGAACCTCCAGTTAAAGTTGCCTTCACCTCCCAGGGACCGATAATGTACATCTGTCTTTTGCTTGTGTTCTTCAAAGCCAACCATCCAACTAGAAATACACATTGGAGAGAACGTAGCTAACTAAGGTTCCTACCACAATATGCATCCTCAACTCAAGGAATTAAGAAGGTCATTGAACTTGGTAAATGATAGAGAAAAAATAAACCCCGAGAAATTTCCACAGTATACCAAATGTGCCATAAATTTCACAATATTCTAATTTCTCTCTTGAGCAGCATCCTCAAACCTTATAAGTTCATCCCAGATATTAGCATGGAAGCAGACATCTGGTGGAGGTCAACTCCCCAGAGGCAAAGACAACTCCCAAAAGACCATCCTTGCTTTCCTGTTCTCCCCCATCCCCACACCAGAGCGCCGACTGATCACCGACTGATGATCACTGATCCCGACTGATCACTACCCTTGTGGGAGCAGAGGCGACAACCTGGAGCTGGGATGGGTAGAAAGAAGGGTGACCTCCTACCCTTTCACATAAATGTCGCTCATCTTCTCCCCGGTGATGCTGAGGTCATCCAGGATCACATCCTTGGTGTTCCAGATAATACAACGCAGGAAAAACCTGCAGAGAAAATGACTCAAATCCACACGATTCCCACCAAGGGTGGGCGGTCCTTGACCAAGAAGCCAAGAAGTCTGCTCACCCAAGACTGCTGCTTGCCTGGTTGGACACTTGGCCAGGCTCACACAAGAGTGGCACCTGAGTGGCAAAAAGCCCGGCCCAAGAACCACCTCCTGGTCCCATCCACAGCAACCACCCCCCACCCTGCTCAGCCCTGAGCCCGGGCCGCATCAGTCACCTTCTGGCTCTCCGTGGGGTGATGTTGAAGGGAGGTCCCGGCCGTCCCAGGGCCTTTGGAAACAGGTCAACCCACATCTGCAGCTTCCCCTGGGAAAGGAGACACGACCCTGGTCTCTTGCCACGCTTTTCACTCAACCAACATATCCCAATCGCCTGCTCTGTGCTAGATACTTGGAGCACGGGACAGAGGAGACTCAGGCCTGCATGGTGAGGCTCAGCATCCAGCAGGGTTGGGCCCACCGCTCCACTGGCCAGGGACTTGGGGAGTGCCTGGGGGTCAGGGGTCAGGGTCAGGGCAGCTCCCTGGGGATGGTGATGTTTGCTGGACCTCACTCTGCCAGGCGGGAAAGAGTAGGGGGCACTCCAGCCTTGGGATGGTAGACACGGTTGTAGAGGGTCAGAGAGTGTGGGTTGGTCATAGGGGCTCAGAGGGTTTCCAGACAGGAAACCATTCTACCTGCCACCATTCAGCTCGTGCCCTCTTTGCGAGCAGCTGTTACCTCTGGCCCCATCTTACAGGAGGAGTAGAAGGGACTGACCTAACTTCTGTTCACGTGAGCATGAAAGAGCTGACATTTTAACACCTGCAGTGCCACTCTGGGGAGCTGGTAGCCACGCCACCAAGGGAAGGACGACTCAGCTCCAAAGAGCAGGGAGGATGTTCTCTGCTGTGCACAAAGGCACCTTCATGGCTGCATCACCCCATCTCTGCCTGTAACCCCTTCCCTCCTCTTCTTCCTCCAAACCCCAGCCTTGAGCTCACTCCCTCCAGGAAGCCTTCCTGTGTCAGCCCAGGTCTGCTGTCCCTCCGCTCACCCTCCCTCTGCCTGGGAGGGCTCCCCTGACCTTCGTGATGGCTGCTCTGCCTCTCTGCCATAGGGTCGACCTGTCTGAACTCCCTACAAGCCCAGCACAGGGCTGGCCTTCTGGGGTGTCGCTGATTGATGGTAGGGTAGGACACCCTGAGGCCAGGCTGAAACACTAAGGCTTCAGAACGACTCATGGGCAGTCAGAGGTTCAGCCTACATGGGGGTGGAGGAGGCAGCTCATTCCCCAGGCCCCAAGGCCTGCAGGTAGCCCAGGAAGGCCAGGTTCAAGGGGGCTCTCTCATAAGCCAACAGTGGTCAGCGGTAACTACCCAGATCAGAAAAACATGGCGAGGAGGGGTTAGCCAGATCCTGAGGTCTCCACTGGTGCTTCTGGGGTATCCATGCTGTCCCTGGGGCGGGGTAGCTGAGGGTCAGGGGCTCTGGGGCTGAGGGTGGAGGTCCTACCTGCTCAATGTCCGGCTGCAGGGGGCTGTAGAGAGGCCGGGACTCCACGTGCTCAGGGATCAGGCCCTGCTGCTGGAGGACGTGCAAGGCCAGACGCTCCTCCACTGGACCCAGATGTGGGTTCGGGACCCTGCCAGCCTCTACCCCAGGAAAAAGATGGAAAACACCACGAGGACTGAGTGAGCAGGAGATGGCAGGGGTGCCTAGGGGCCTTGGGAAACCACTAACCCCACAGCCTCACCCCGAGCCCAGATACACTTCTTCTGGCCCTCACGTCTCACTCTCTGTAGCAGGAATCTCACTGTCCATAGGCTCTGGGCTTAAAATCCAGATTCCCCATTGCCATCACCTCTTCCAAGCATCTTCCGTAAGCTCTTATAAATTCTCCCCACCCTCCAAAGCCCACCACTCCCAGGAAGCCCCTTCCAGACTGCTCTCAGCTCTGAGGCTCTACAAGCTCTTCTGCCAGATAAAGCATCTAAGTGCTCTCCGTACTATTCTCTGGTTCAGGCAATCTCTTTGATTAGTAGCAGTAGCTAAAATAATAGCAATAACAGAGAACACATTTAAATCAAGAGCCAGGCACTGCTCTCCATAGATATTAAAGTTTGATCCTCAATTAACCCTAATGAGTATTAATAACCCTATTATTAGTCCCATTTCACAGGTGACAGATATGAAGCACCAGACAGTCACACAACTGGCCAGCGGGGTGGCTGAGATCACACCCTCATTAGGAAAGGTGCATAACTGGATGTGAATACTCCCCCTCCCCGGCATGCTTCCAGGTGTAGCTCTTCCTGTCAGGGGGTGGGTCACGAACTGGTACTGGGGATGGGGTGTTTCTAACCCTGAGAAGTCTGGCTGATCAGGCAGCAACATGAACTTGGAGCTCCCATGACAGAGACCTGACTGGGAGCAGGAGGGCCCACATGTGTCTATACACATGTACACACACAGGTATGTGCACTCAGGTGTGCCCATGTTCACCAGCACAGATTCTAACACCGCACACACACATACACACATTCATCCATCAAACCTGCCCTACCCACTTTAATAGGTGCCACTAAGGAAGCAGCAGAGCACTGCAGGAGGAGCACTGGGCCAGGAACCTGGTTCCGCCTCTAAAGGGCTGGGTGACTTTGGGCAGGTTGTTAACCACTCGGTCTGAACAGCCTCATCTGCAAAAACAGGCAGAACTCTGGCTTTCTGGCTTTCTTGTCCTATGAATTTATGACCATGAGCTCTGGTCCCTGTGCTTAAGCTGCTTACAGACCAGCAGAAGGAAATGAGACCACCCCTAAAACAGATGCGAGTTCTACAGGAAAAGAGAACGGGGTGGGTTAGGGCCTAATGGAAAGGAGCCTGACTCAGCCATGACCTCGGAGAACCAGAGAAACAGATGAGGGGTGGGTTGGGGATGGGGGAGCCAAACCCTCATTCCCCTTTTACAACCTCAGCATCAGCTCTGACATCAAACATCGCCGAAAGCAGCAGGAGGCAAGGGGCCAGCTGGGCCTGTAAACACCTCCGGGGAGTCTGAGTTGCTCCGGGTGGGCCATGCAGGCCTGTGAGCATCTCAGACATGCAGGAAGCACATGGCGGCACCCTAGGCACGAGCATTAGACAGACCCAAAGCATCAGGCAAGATGAGGGCTACAGGGCTTCCTGCCACTCTTTGGATGTATCAGGTGCAAGAGCTGTGACTAGGGGCTTGGAAGGTACCGTCAAGGTCAAATCAGCATGCTAGCGTGATTCAAGTAGAAAACCTTCTCAGTGGTGGGCTGTACCCAATCTCTGACCAGTCTGACCACCCAAAGCCAGAAGCAGCCCAATCCCAACCATGACCCTGACCTTGGCTTCAGACTCCCCCCTCATCTTCCCCTCAGACAGGCCCCAACCTGGCCATAGGCTGAACTCTGATGAACCCCCCAACCCTGGCCCCAACTTTGACCTCTAATCTTCACAATGGTGTTCCAGGTAAGTACTGGTCCCAGGAGCACCAAGGGCAGGTCTACTCCATCTGTGCTGCCCTGGAGAGACCCCAGACCACACTGGGCGGGTGTGGGTCTTGTGCGGTGGGTATGTCCAAGCCCCTTTATGACAGGAGAGGACCCATAAGAGAAAGAGCATTGGAGGGAGAGCTCACCTATTTCTTCGATGGTGTATTCTTTATCCTGAAACACCACACGGTCTGTCCGGTACACGGGGGCCTTGACTCGGCGCTGCTGGCAGAAGAGGTGGAGGAGCTGGGAGGGGCGGAGCTGATCCCTCCACTGGTTGGGTCCAGAGCTGAGGCCCAAGCAAAATACAGAGATGAGATGCTCCAGGACACTGACGGGGCAGAGGGGCATGCAGTGGCCTATGTGCCCACAAACACGGCATCAGCCGCCCTTCTCTTTGACCATGGGCACCGTCAAGGTCAACTGATTGTTCATCATGACTGGGGAGCCCATTTCACACACAAAGAGACTGAGGCCCAGAGACAAGAGGACTCCTTTACACATGCATGGGATTAGACTGAAAGGTTTCCAATTTCCAGGTTTAGAGAATCAGACCCAGACAAGACCCAAGTTGGCAGGAAGTGAGTGAGGACTGTAGGGCCCAGCCAGGCTCTGTGACCCATCCCACAGTTTGCCTCCCTTCTCTGTCCCCTCTCCAGGCCCTCGATGGTGCCTTCAGGAGAACTGTAACGACATGATGAAGAGTTGGGTTCTTAGAGTCAGATAAGCAGCTTCAACTCCTAACCCCACCACTTACAAACCTGGGCCTCAGTGTCCATATCTATGGAGTGGGGATGAGACCTAGCTGACTGACTGAGAAAGTGTCTGTGCCAGGCTAGCATCAGGCCAGCACACAGTCAGTGCTCGGCCCACAGTCAGAGAAGCAGCCAGCACGGTGCACTTACACGCAGTAGGTCTGGGGGAGTCCACAGCGGGCCCCGAACTTGGACAGCAGCCTGTTCTCCAGGTCAATGACTGTCTCCCCAATCTTTTCATCCTTGGAGAGGAGGTCATAGTCATAGAGGGTGACCTTCAGGTCCTTCTCCAGAGGCAGAGTGCAGGTCAGCTCGAACATCCTGTGAGGAAGGAGGGGGGGGGTTGTCATGACAACACCAGCTCCCAGAGGTTATCGAACACAGCAGGACCTCAAGGGAGTAGCCAGGCGGGAGCACAGGCTGGAAAGCCATCCTTGGCCTCCTCCTCTTGCAGGACTGGCCTACAGTCCCCCCTCCTCAGACCGTCCACCACTCTTGCAGCATACCACCCACAGCACTCCCGATGCGGGGCTTGTCTCAGTGTGTGTGTGTATGTGTGTGTGGTTTCCCCAAATAATCAGCAGATGCCTGCCTGATGGATCACAGAATGGACGAATGAACTGGGTTCATTCACAAGGTTAAACATGAAGTTTCCAGGGACTTAACTGGTGTTCAGTGGTTAAGAATCCACCTTGAAATTCCGAGGACTCGACTTCCATCCCTGGTTAGGGAACTAAGATCCCACATGTGGTGGAGCAACTAAGCCTGTGTGCTGCAACTCCTAAAGCCCACACACCATAACTAGAGAGTACACGTGCTTCAAGGAAAGATCCTGCATGATGCAAGGAAGATCATGATGCAGCCACATAAATAAATAAAATTTTAACGAAGTTTCCACCAGGACACCTAGAGACACGATGTGAAACTCCAGAGCGAGGTGCCAGAGCTCTGGAATTTACCAAGGGCATGGCCTGGGATCCACTTTCAGGACTCTTGGGGCTTCTCCACCGCTTCTAGAGTGGGATGGGAAGAGGACTTGTGCAGAGATTTCTCTGGAGAGAGCCCCTGCTGTGCTCTGAGAGACCCACCTCCCACAGAGGGCAAGTGTGGAAGTGCTGCCCCTTCTCTGAAATGAGTTCCCTTCAGGAGGGAGACACAGCCTGGCACCCGAGTTGTGCTTGACGAAGTGCAAGCAGCGAGTGGCAGAGAGGAAGTGCAGAATGTTTGTGAGGAGCTGTGTGCCTGTCCTGGCTGGGCACAGAGCGGCAGGGTAGGGGGCTGCCTGAAGCCCACCCCATGGGACGTGGGGCTCTAACAGCGAGCGGCTGTGGGGAGATGCATCTGAGAATGGGTGGGTGGATGAGAGGGAGATACCAGCTAAAGGGACACAGCACCTGCCACATCCCAGGAGCTATGTTAGGAGGGCCTGGTGGGGGTAGGAGGGCTCTGGAAAGCACCCACAGGAAAGCAAACATCTGCCACCCAAAGGGCGTCAGATGAGCAAAGTTTGCACTTGAGATGGGCCCCTCCTCTACCACATGCTCCCTAGTCCTGGCCCTGCAAGAACGGCGGGGGCAGTTGGAGGGGGAGGAAACTGTACAAAGCCCCTCCTCCCCTCTGCACACCCCTGCCCAGGGTGGACCCTCCAGCCGTCTCATGCCCTTCTGACAACACACGAATGCGTGTTCTGGTTACCAACTTGAGACCGTGGGTTTCCAGCAAAGTGGACTGTCTGAACCCAAGCAGGAGAGTGGCCTGTCTGCCATGGTTTCTACTCAGGGAGTGAGGAAGATCACCCCACAGAACAGATGTTTATGGGAAACTAGCAGACAAAATCAGAGTTGTCTTTGATGATGTCCCATGCCTAGGGCTGGTCAACACATGGGTGATAGAAACACAGAGCTTCGGCTGTGGACTTGGGGAGGCTTGAACCACAGACGGAGCAGATGACCATGATCTGGGGGCAGATGGCAAACAGCAAGGGAGAGGCGTGTTCTACACTCATGTTCCCGCCTTGCCCTGGGCCCGGTGTGGTCCCCTCAGCCAGGGGCCCCATGCCAGCCACACACACCAAACAGGGTTCCTCTCTCACACCTGCCATCCTCCTCACAGCCCTTCCCTCCAGTTCCAGCTAGGCGGTGACTCATCATTGGCCAGGGCTGTTTCTCCTCCAAAAAAGGCATGACACTGGTTCATGAATCCAGTGTGCTGCCTGACAATATCAGTACATGCCTTCTCCAACAGGTGCTAGAGAAATAGTTGCCAACCTCTCTCAAGATTCTCTTTTCTGTATATGGGACTGTCCAGGCAAGAATCCCGGAGTAGGTTGCCATTTCCTTCTCCAGGGGATCTTCCCGACCCAGGGATCAAACCCATCTCCTGCATTGGCAGGTGAGTTCTTTACTGCTGAGCCACCAGGGAAGCCCCTTGACTTAAATTAGCTCACATCCAAACAGCAAGCAGGTCAGGATGCCTGGGAGCTAGTCCCTGCAAAGAGCACTGCTTCTCCCTTCCTCATTCTTAGACTCGAGGAAGTATTTCACTCCCTTGAGTCCACGTCCTTCTACTATCTGCCACAAACGAGCAAGGAACAATAAAAGAAAATAATTACTAAATGCAATAAGAATCCTGATCTAGATCCTAAAACAATAAAAGGACATTTATGGGGAAATTGGCAAGATCCTTTAGTTAATAGTAATACAGTAATTTGATAATCAATTTCTTAATTTTGATACATGTTAGGTAAGATGTTAATGGTGAGGGAAATTGAGTGATGGGTATACAAAAACTGTACTATCTTTGCAATTTTCCTGTAAATCTAAAATTATTCCAAAGTAAAAGTTGATCTAAGAAAAAGGGAATAAGGAGCAAATGCATGGTCTTGCTTTCCATTTAGATTTCTGATCTTTGAGGTAACTGTTTAACTAGGAGCTTCTGCAAGGATTTAAGGAAGAGCTAGCTGAGGTTACACCCCCACAGACATGCAAGATTTAGGGAACAAAGCTTTGCTCTAGGAGACAGGGACTTCCCAGCGGCAGCCACATCTCTCCCACTGGGCTGTGGGTTATTCCAGACTGGCACCTCCACCCCAAGCGCCAAGTCACTCCAACTTACTTTCCAAATACAGGCTCCAGAGTACAAGGGATGTAGTTGTCCTGGTCACTCACTGACTTCTTCCCTATGGAGATCTTGATGTAAGGGTCACACTGCAGGAAGAGAAGGAGACACTTCAGTGAAATCACCTTCCCGACACATCTCTGAGGCTCCTTCACTGCTCCGCTCTCAAAGGGGTCAGGGGGCCCACCACACCTGGGGGTTAAACAAGAGAGTTGGAATCCCCTGAAACCCTTAGGAATCTGAGTCCTCTGACGCCTAGCCTCAGTATGGTGACACTTTCAAAAGAACGCCACTCTGCTCTGAAAGCCAAGAAGAATAACAGAGCTCTTTAGGTTTTCTTGAAGGGGATGACCAGCGTCTTCTCACTACTTCCAACAGAGAGAATTCCCTAAACAGTTTTGCCGGTCCCTCCAGTTTCATACTCGGGATAGCTATGAAATCCCTCCCTCACTCCCAGCTCTGCTGCGCTCTCCTTCACCTTTTCCTTCTCTGCCCAGCCTCCATGCCCCAGCCGGTGAGCTGCCAGCCACATCCAGCCCCAGAAAGTGAAACGAAGTCCATGCCCTTACCCTAAGCATTTTCCCCTCGTTTTTAAATTACAGTAAAAGCTACATCAATAATATGTGTCAATCTTAACATATAGTTAGAAGAGTTTCGCCTAATGTATATGTATATGTAGTATGTATGTATATGTATATGCATAATGTATATGTAGTAATTTTTACTATCTGAACCACCAGGGAAGCCCTTATGTAGTATATATATTCATATTATATACACATTCATATATGTACATATACATTGTAACATATACATATATATTATGTATATGCATAGTATACATACATATGCATTAGTGAAATATTTCATAGTTGATATACATATGGTATATTTAGAGCATATGTGTGTGTGTGTGTATGTATCTGTGTAACCAACAAACCAACGCATGATTCAAAACACAGAACATTCCAGTCACCCCAGAAAGTTTCCTCATTCCTCCACCCACCACCTTTTATCCACAAGCAACCACCATTCTAGTTTCTCTTATTGCTGCTGCTGTTCAGTCACCCAGTCATTTCCAACTCCTTGTGACCCCATAGACGGCAGCACGCCAGGCCTCCCTGTCCCTCACCGCCTCCCAGAGTTTGCCCAAGTTCATGTTCACTGCATCAGAGATGCCATCCAGCCATCTCATCCTCTGATGCTCTCTTCTGCTTCTGCCCTCAGTCTTTCCCAGCATCAGGGACTTTTCCAATGAGTCGTCTGCATCAGATGACCAAAATACTGAAGCTTCAGCTTCAGCATCAGTCCTTCCATTGAATATTCAGAGTTTATCTCCCTTAAGATTGACTGGTTGGACCTCCTTGCTGTCCAAGGGACTCTCAAGAGTCTTCTCCAGCACCACACAGTTCAAAGGCATCAATTCTTTGGCATCCTGCCTTCTTTACTGTCCAGCTCTCACAATCCATATGCGACCACTGAGAAAACCATAGCTGTGACCATACAGACCACTGTCAGCAGAGTAATGTCTGTTTTTCAACACACTATCTGGGTTTGTCATTGCTTTCCTGCCAAGAAGCAACTGTCTTCTGATTTCACAGCTGCAGTCACTGTCCACAGTGATTTTGGAGCCCAAGAAAAGGAAATCTGTCACTACTTCCACCTTTTCTACAGTATTGGAGCCAGATGCCACGGTCTTCATTTTTTTAATATTTAGTCTTAAGGCAGCTCTTTCACTCTCCTCTTTCACCCTCATCAAGAGGTTCTTTAATTCCTCTTCGCTTTCTGTGATTAGAGTGGTATCATCTGCATACCTGAGGTTGTTAATGTTTTTCCCATCTATCTTGATTCCAGTTTGTAACTAATTTCTATTACTATAGACTAAAGGTTCACTAACATCATATAAATAAAATAATACACCTGCAAAAAACAAGAAGCAGCTGCCACTTGCCAGGCTAGCAGCCCCATCAGGCACACCACCCCAACACGCGCCTCGAGCCTCTGCTCCAGCAGTGGAAATGGGGTGCCCAAGTCCTCCACACTCCCAGTCCACTGCCCCCTTAGGAAAGGGTGGGTGGGGGCCAGGCTCATAACCCCAGAAACACACCAGTTTGTGTGACATATGTGACTGGGCCAGGCTGGGGTCCCGTCTGTGACCTTTGCTTCAGCCGATAGAAAGGGAGAGAAATGGCCAGATGTTTTCAGCCCAACCCAGCCTCCTATGAGCAGCAGCATTCCCTCTACTAGCCTCAGAAGCAGCCAGGACCAGAGTGCTTGGATCAGTCTCGGCACCAGGAAGGCCTGAGGCGTAGGAACTTGACCACAACCACATCTTGGAGGCCGTGGATGGTGCCTGGGATGGGACTGCTCCATCCCGCCCTGTGATCTCTCAGCAGAGCAGTGGAGCTTCTCTCCCCTTGAAAAGCAGGGCTGCAGGGATGGGGCACCAGGGCCCTCCCACAACCTAGGACACAGGCTAGGCCTGCAGCTGTCCAGGGGGACAAGGGAAGACCCTAGCTCGCCCCTCTGAGCCCCACTGCCCCTCACTCTGCCTCACCTCTTCCTCTTTCTCTCTCTTCCCAGCCACACTCAGCCCCTGTCCCCACTTCCCTGCAGCTCCAGACTCTGGCTCTCCCTCCATCCCATTCCTTCATTCAACACTCAGAATTAGAGTAAGTCAGGGCAACCCAGGCATAAAATTTAAGGGAAGAACAAAAAAGTTTAGTAATCAAGATAAACATTTTAATGTGATATTTTAAAAATTAAAATCAATACCAACAGTCCATGATGAACAAAACATCAAGATTTTATATAAAGACAGGACCAAGATTATTTATTTTTCCTTCTACCCCAGGCTCCACCATGGCCAGGCCAGTACAGTTGCCCATCATGTTCCATCCCTTCTTCTTGCCTTCCTACCCCACCCTTGAAAGTCCCACCAATACCATCAATGTCCCTTGTCCTTACGCCTTATCCTTGTGCTAAACCTATGCTAAGCAGTTTGCTCCCAAACCTTTCCCAATGTTTTTAACTCCTAAAATACAGTTTTCTTCTCCCTCCTAGCCTATGAAAACTTCATCAGTCCTTAAAAACTCTATTCCTTCTAGGAAGTCTTCCTCATTATCCCAAAGCTGTGTGCTACCTCTGGCCTTTTCTGACCTCCTGGAGCACTTGGCCTTGATAGAACTCCAACACCGTAACACCTCAATTTTCTACATGTTTGTCTGGTTTCCCACTTACTGTGAACTCCCTGGGGCAAAGATTATATCCAAATTCTGCAGCCTCTTAATACCCCAGCCTGCCATTTACTCTAGGGGAGGTGAGCGCTCCAGGGAGGTTACCTTCCCATTGGGATCCTTGGGCTGCAGGCCAAACGCTCGGATAATGTAGACACGGACCAGGCATTCCTGGGGCCCCTGGGAAGCCAGCTGGTGGAACTGCCTCGGGGGCAAGGGGATGGCTGGGTCTTCTGGGAGAGGGTAAATTTTGAAGAGTCCCTGAAAAGAAGGAGGGGTCAGCTTTCACTTTCATCATCAGTGTCACCAAGACACTCACCACTATGTCCATTACGCTCAAGTCTGTCAGGGTCATCACCACTGTGATTATGAAGCCCAATGCAATCCCATCACCCCCATCAGATTTTGCATCAGCACCACCAACATCACCACCACCATCTCCATCACCTACATAGCCGCCAATCTCAGCACAGGATTCATTGCTGATATTACTACAGTACTTCTGCCCCTCCTTCACTCATTGCTGCTACACCATAGTTGGGACCCCTGGGCTAGAGACATGTCCTCAAGGACTTACCTTAAACTCCCCAATGACTGATGGGTCTTCAGTCTCCTCCTGAGTCTTGCCCCGGTAGAGCTTGAATGTATTACAAAAGTCAGACAGGCCCTCAAAGGCCTTCACATTCTCCAGGGGTGTGTCATAGACCTGCCACACGTGGGGACGAGAGAGGGCGACAAGGGAAAGAGAGAAAAGGGACAGCAAGGAAAAAGGAAACATGATAGAGTTCAAGTGACAGAAAGGACAGAAAGACAAATGGGGGGTGGGGGGGACCAGAAGCAGATTAGAGAAAAAAGCCAAGAGGAGGGCAGGTTGGAGGGGGTGGGTGGAAGTAAGAGACGAGATCAGGAAGAGAGGCAGAGAAGGAGAGGAAAAAGATGCAAGTCATGGAGATGAGATGAGCAAGAGAAAGGGGGGAAAACCAGGAGAAGGAAATAAAAGGGGAAGACATTTGTTCAGCGCCATTGAAAAACAGGGTTTTCTGATTAATCCAATACTCTAAATACCCAAGAGTCATCATGCACATGAGTGGTGCATTTCTTGAGAATAAGATCACAGTCAAACACATAAATGAAAAGTTAACTGACTTGTTATTTGAACATCAAAGACAGAACTCTAGAAAATTCACAAGCCAGCAAAATGCTGACTGCCCAGGATGTCCAAATGGCAGTGGATCAAATTTCTCTCCTCTCAACAGCCAATGATTTTTACTTGTTAGAGTAGTGCTTAGATTTAAATGAAGCAGTGGTTTTCTAATATAGATGATAAAATGTACCTAATTAATAGTGATTTTAACCCACTTAATATGCAAGCTTAGTTGTATATCTGAAACTGATCAGCAGGATAGTCGGCCCTCCATATCTGCAGATTCTACACCCAGTTTCTTATTTTCTGCTTCTAGTTTTATTATTTTCTTCTTCATACTGTTTTAAGCATTTTTTTTCCTTCTAATTTCTTCAGTTGAAATTTTAATTACTTTGATCCCTCTTTCCTAATAAGGAAAACACTTAAAATTGCCTGTGCTTTCTACTGCCTTAGCATTGCCCTGTTTATTTTGATGTATGATGTTTTCATTTTCCTTTTCTTGGCATTCCACAATAATAGTCTCATTTTTACGTTTTTGATCTAAGAGTTAGATGTGTAGTTAGTTTTCATCCTTTTGTTTTAATTAACATAAGTTCTCAAGGCTATAAGCTTCCTCCGAACACTGCTTTAAATATAACCACTAAGGTGTAACATATAGTATTTTATCATTGCTTCCCAGATATTCCACAATTTTTTTTTATATATTCTCTTTCACCAAGAATTGTTAAAAGAGAGTTGCTTTCTTTTTAATTTTTCAGATAGAAGTTTTTATGACTTTAGAGCTTGTTATTAATTTCTAATTTTAGGGCCTTATAATCAGAAAACATTGTCAGTGGTACTTCCATCTTTTAACTTTATTAAGATTTTCCTTATGGCTTATTACATGGTCAATTTTTGTTGCTTTTATTCATTTTTATTGGAGTATAACTGCTTTACAATATTGTGCTCATTTCTGCTGTGCAGCAAAGTGAATCAGTCATACATACATCCCCTCTTTTTTAGATCTCCCTTCCATCTAGGCCACCACAGAATAAGGAGTAGACTTCCCTGTGCTAGACAGTAGGCTCTCATTAGTCATCTATTTTATACATAGTAGTGTATATATGTCAAGTTTGTAAATGTGCCGTAGGGGTGTCTCTATTTTCAAGCCACCGGGTTCAATAAGGCTAATAATACTCTTAAAAATAATTACTCTAGCATTCTAGAGTGGAATTATACAATGCTTATCCTTTTGCAACTAGCTTATTTCACTTAACACAATGTCTTAGAGAGTCACCTGTGTTGTAGTATGTGTCAGAACTTCCTTCCTTCTTAAGGCTGACTAATATTCCATTGTGTGTTTCCCATATTGTGTTTATCCATTCATCAGTCAACGGACACTTAGGTTGTTCCCACATTTCGTGATCTGCCAGTTTTAAATAATATCTGTCAATTCTCCTTATGTCTATAATACGACTATCAGTGTTCTTACTCTCTATCCCATCCTCTTTCATCCTTTACTCCAATTCATCCCCTAGGAGTCCCTTGAAACAGACTCCTGGGAGCCATACTACCAGCCTCCTCAATGTGCATACCTGTGTGTCTGTAGAAGTTATGCATGAAGGGCAGCTTGGCTGAATGTCAAACTTTTGGGTCACCTTTTCTTTTCCTGATGATCTTACACATGGTGCTTTGTTGTCATTGAGTATTAAATGTCATAGAGAAAGTAAAGCCACTTTGATTTATTTCCTTTTTTTAATTATTTAAATTTTTGTGAAGGGAGGAGATATGACTATTCATAGGATTTTTTTTTCTCTATCTCTAAAGTTCAGTAACTACACTGGGATATGTCCCAGAGTTGACCGATCCGGTCAATCTTTTCTGACTTTCTGACATAGCAGAACTTCTAATGTGCATATTCAAGTATTCTTTCAGTTCTGGTAAAGTTTTATTAAACTATTAACTATTTGCCTAATTTCATTGTTTTGGTTGTCCTCCTCAGAGACTCCAATTATGCAAATGACTACTAATATTTCCCTGACTACTAATATTTGTCATTTTCTCTTCATCCTTTTATAATTATTTATTTCCATTTCATTCTTTCCCCTGTACCCTTTCCTGTGTTTTCCAATGTGGCCATTTTGCCCTGTGCTCCTTCCAATTTCAAGTTTTCTTCTTTCCTGAATCCTACTTGCTCACATTTCAGCTCTTCTCATCTCATCATCCCTTGAGTTCTTTCATTTTTGCTTGCGTTCACACTGCCCTATTTCTAAAAAGTTCACAGCAAAGTCTTTCATCTCATCTGCTCCTTGGAGAAACTTTTCTGGTGGGTATGCATCCTCTTCTTTTGGTTAAGTTTTGTCTTACATTTTCTTCTCTTTCTTCCTTAGTATTTTTAAATTAATTCTGTAGCATATCTTTTCTTATTGCTTGTCACTAAATGTGTTGAATTTTTCACTAAATGTGTTTAATTTTTAGACCAGTTATCTCCTTAGTTCCCACAACAGAGGCAGGCTGTTCCCTATTAATATGGCTCATCCATGTGATTCTTCTGTAACTTCACCTTCTTTATTTCTCTGAACCATGCCAGATCTAAGAGGCTTTTGCCAACAGCCTGAACCTGTCTCCAAATTTCCCATGTCCATTGTTGTGAACAAAGAATATAATTTTTATATTTTACAGTAAAACTTCAATTTCAGGAATCATATTTTTAACTATCATGAAAACTTTCAAGCACACACAAAAGTAAAGAGAACAGATAATAAGTCCCCATGAATCCATAAAGGCTGTCTTAAATAATTATCAGCATTCTCTCATTAGGGAGTATGAGGTTTTCTGAAGTCTGCTACCACCACGACCTTTCATCATTTTCGTGCATCTTCTCTTCATTTACGGCCGAGTGGCTTCCACCCAATCTCAGTTGCCTCTGGACGGCCCTTACACGTATTTTGGAGTCTGCGGGTTTTATTTGTTTCCAACTTTTACTGAAAATGAAGTTTGTGGGTTTGAATGATTTCCAAGAGAAAAAGGGAAAAATGCTGACTTATGCAGCCATGTTCATACTGGAAGTCCCAATAAAATATTTTTTAAATTTCCAAGTGGTTGGTCTTTTTGTTTAAACTTTTGTTATTAATTTCTCATTTTATTGCATTTAAATCTGTCTTGTATGATTTCTGTTTTGGGTAACTTATTACCAAACTAATATGTGATCAAGTTTTGTAAGTGTTCTCTGAGCATTAGGAAAAAGGTATTTTCTCATTTTTAATTATTTTTATTCTCTATTTTAAAGCTACTTGATGTAGCTTGAAAAATGTTTGCCTTGTTATTCATATCTTTCATTTCCTTATTTACTGCCTGTTTCATCTGTCTAAGATAAAGGTACATTAAAATCCCACTGCAACTTTAATTTTTTCAATTTCATACTTTCATTTATTACTTTATATATCCCTATCCACTTTTGCTTTAAGGATTTCTAAGCTTTAATGTTCCATACATTAATATTTGGAGTTTTTGCACTGAGATGTACATCTTTTATTTATACAAAACACTCCATTTTACTTCCTTTGCTTTTGACTTTAGTTTCAATTTGTTTCCCCTTTCTTTGCACTTATTTTGTTTGCCAAAATATTTGCTTTTTTAGCTATTCTAAATTGTATTGCCTTAGCAGCATCTTTAAAGGTAGTATAATGAAATTTTACTTTTGCTGTAGTCTAAGAGTCCTTAGCACTTAGTCAAAGAGTGTAGCCCATTTTTATTTATAGGAAAACTAACATTTATCCTTTTTCTGTTGTGTTTTTCTATGATTTATTTTCTTCTATGCTTTCTTGCTGTAGCTTTTGTTTTCTGTCTTCCCCTATTAAGACCATGAGTTGTCTTTTCCCCTCTATGATAAGTGATTTCCAAAATATGATTTTTTTTCCCCTACCCATTGTGTACTCCATTCTCTCCATAGTGCTACATGCTATTTTTCAAAGACCCATATTGCTGGTGGTGGTTGACAATCCCCAAAGGATCAGTGTTTCTTCCAGGTCTGCCTTCCCCCCCCAGAAACAGGTTGAATGCCTTTTGTTTTTAAATAACCCATTTTCACTTGGAAACTGCCAGAGATCTCCTCAGAGAAGTCAAGCAGGTGGGCTGGGTGCCAGAGGAAGCAGTGAGGGTGCCTGGGCCATGGGCCACCCCAGCAGGAGTCCTCATTCTTACTTGGCTTTTCTCAATCTTTTGGCAAGGCCACAGGACCACATGCCAGACTTAATGTGTCGGACCTTCTTCCTGGTACACTAATAGTTCTGTCTCTTTGCCCAGCCTCATACACCCACCTACCAGTCGACAAAGAACTTGCTGCCTGGGAAGGCCTGAGCCTTCTGACCGCTGGTGCCTGAGGCTCATCTCTGCCCCAGGTCTCCAGGCACAAGCACACAGAGGCCTCCAGTGTGCCAGAGGCGGCCCTTGGCACCCCGTGAGACGGCCTTCCAGCGTGGCCACCCACCACTTCAACGAGCCTCAAGCTCCCTTCATCCAGTCCCCTTTAGGGAGCTCCTTCGGGTTTTCTCACGTGGCTGACAATCTTTCCCCTTCTCGTTCTCTAGGAAGGACTGCCAGGTTTAGCAAGTAAAAATACAGGATACCCATTTAAATTTGAAGTTCGAATTCAGTAATTTTTTTTTTAATTCGAATAAAATATTATTCATTATCTATCTGAAATTCAGTGTAACTGAGCATCCTGAATTTTACCTGGAAACCTCTTCCAGGACACTGTATAACTTTCTTCAAGGAGCAGTTTTGAGTCACCTCTGGTTATCTTTTTTAAAAGGAGCCTGCTTTTAAAAAGTATAACCATATTTGTGGAATTTCCTCAAAATACCAGAATTTGGCTGACTCACTCCTGGTTTTGTGTTGTTCTTGAGGCTCTGGGGTTTTTTTTTCCACAGAAACAGAGTTTACCATAGTTTTCTATGTGCTGGGTAATTTCTATCCCAACTGCAGAGGTGGGGGAGTCAGAGGTACATTCTCACATTGACTTTCCTTTTCATTTTCATGGAAAATTTTTATAATAAAAAAAGTTCAAATAACTTTAAAAGAGACGAAATAGTATGACAAATCCCTGAGTACTCATCTTCAAGCTTTAATCATTTTCAATATTTTGCAACTTTGATCATTTTTAATATTTTGAAAATCTATCAGAGGGCAACCCACATCATCTAAATAACTCATCCTTACTTTTTGTAAGCATTTAAGAAAGCTAAGCAGATCCCAGGTATCTTTTCACCCACAAATGTATATGTATAGATGTATATTATCTTTTGGTTGCAACTCCTGGCGCCCAGTACACATGCCCAGGGACCACTGGACTAAAGAGGACGTTGTGGAGAGGGCTCACCTTTAGAGTGTCAAAGTCCTTCTCCAGGTAGGACCCACACTTTTCACTCTCCCCAATTGAGGCAAAGAATTTGCTCCACCAATCAATGAATTCCTCCTCCTGAGTGGGTAGAAAAAGAGAAACACTTTCAGAAACAGAACTTGCCAAGCAAGGTTCTTCTGGATGAACACCAAGCAAGACTGATGGGCTGGCCTGGACCACAAGTCTCTCCTGCTGGGTTAGTTCAGAGGAGCAGAGAACTGGAATTCCCCGCCTCTTTAGGGGCCGACTGCACAGTCAGGAAAAAGGTCTTCACACCTGCTTGGTGTTGAGTAGCAGAGGCTCTCGCCCTGGCTCTGCGCTACCTTCACCGTGTGCTTCTGTTAAGCTCCTGGGGCCTTTCTTTTCCTTTCTGTGAGTGGGCTCATCATCACAGTCCCCCTTGCATTCCAGGAGTATACTGAGGCTAAACTCAGACCATAAGTTGGATAACTCCTTGGGAGGAAATGTCAATAAAATATTATTTATTTAAAAATTACAGTAGACCCAGGAAAACTGAGACACCAAACAACTATTCTGACCCCCCAACTCCAGAATCCAGCACAAAGTAAAAGCTTCCAAAATCAGAACTTAGCCTCCCCCAAGGTCAAATCAGGGCAAAGCCCCTGAAATTCAACAAATGCCAAGTGCCCATTATATAAAAAACGCTGTGCTAGATGGGGGAAATGAGGTGAGAAGAAAGGAAGTTTGGGACAACACATTCTCTGCCCCTTCACATATTTATATTTGTGGGGAAAGGTGGGCAGGCCTGTTGGGGCACACACTGGTGTCGCCCCATTTTTTAACTCCTCTTGCATGTGGTGTGTCTACAGGCCCTCTTGGCTCATGTGTCTAGAATGCTCCTTCAGCTGGGTTCTGTCCAGGTGTCCCCTTGCTCAGGGAGTCAACAAGTTCCCTGAAGGTGGGATCGTCACTCTCCCTGGACCTCCACCAAAATCCCACACAGGCCCAGGCCCTGGGTCTTGCTGTCGGTACCGGGAAAGCTCACCCAGTTCCATGGGAAGGGCATTGGACAAGGGGTCAGGAAAGCCCATTCTGGGGCCTGCGTTCCTCCTCTGTGTGAGGCGGTCAACTAAGGGATCTCCCAGGAGCCTGCTCCGATTCTGTAAAATGAACTGAATCCCATCAGGAGTTTAGGGGAATGCTGGTGCTCCCTTTAAACCAATGCCTAGCCCATCAAGCTCTAGGTTATTAAGGGTGACCCGAGCTGGAGGCAGGCCAATGGAACTTGAACAGGTCAGTGGAGAGAGGGTGAAGTGAGGTGCTCAGAGTCTTGACCCACTCTGGAAGTACGGCCCTAACGTCGCCTGTGTGGCCAGAATGTGGTACCCAGACATACAACACTAGTGGACGCCAGAGCAACGCTGAGTCTACAGAGAGTGTGTCTGACCAACTTACCAGAAGGATCTTCTGCAGCCAGAGAGGGGAAAGAGGTTCAGATGGGTTAAGACACAGCATAGCAGAGCTTTCAGGGTTGTAACCACTCTCAAAAAAGCCAGCAAGGCAGACACCAGTCCTGATGTTTTAAGTCCAATTTGAATAAAAGATGTGATGGATGAATAAACATAAAGAGACACACATATCAAACTCATACAATCACTGACACATGAAAGAACATATTTACACACTCATGCCCAAGAGACATATATGCTGAAATGCACATATACCCCCCACACCACAAAGTACACAGGCTAACACACAGGCAAATATGTACACAGAGGTAGGAATGGTTAGAATGGAATTCACGTTAGCTTCCTCCCAAGTCTTTCTTTTCTCCCCAAGATCAGATACTTCAAGATTTGCCTTTATGACTCAGGCTCAGAGACAGGCATAAACAGGCAACAACCAGTGTGTTTTGTACAAAGAAATGACAGCAACACCACAGTTGTGGGAAAGTTATTACATTTCCCTCAGTCTTGAAAAACCAAGTAAATTTTTTAAAAGAAGAATATGGAAACAGAGAATCTGAGTAATATGATTAACAGTGTCATTTAAATAGACAAACACCATGTATTCTAAAAACGGAACTTATACCTTCTTTTCCAGTACCATTGGAGCACTTCTAAAAAATTAAAAGCCACAAAGTAAATGTCAATAAAGTCCAAAGAATAAATCCATTATCAGTCACACTCTCTGATCTCAATGTAATAATAAAACTAGAAACGAATGAGAAACTCAAAAATCCCAACCTTCTAGAAATTTAAAGATGTATTCTTAAAGCTTTTCTGAGTCAAGAAAAAACAAAACTAAAATCACAGGTCCTTAGAAAATACCAAGAGTAAGAGGGCTATGCCTTAAAATTTAGTAGCCAAGTCTGTACTCAAAGGAAAATTCAGTCTTAAATATTCTTGCTCTTATACAAAAAGAATGAAAATAAATAATCTGATAATTTAAAAAGCTAGAAAAAGGAAAATAGGAAGATCACAATTTGAAAATGATGAGTAGAATTATGGAGAATATTGTAACTGATAATCAAATCCCAGAGCAAACTTTCAAAAAAACCAACAAAATAAACATTAGATTATTTATCAAATCTAATGTTAAAAAGTAGGTACAACATTAGGAATAAGATCAAATAAAAAGATATTATGGAGAGAATAAAAATATTAAGAGATTTGCTACACCCAAGTCAGTGGAAAAATCTTGGAAAATCTAGATGAAGTAGGTAACTTTCTAAAAAATATACAAACTGCCAAAATTGATTCAAATGTAACAGGAAATATGAAGAGATAACTTTTTGCAAGTGGAAGAGATATCAGAGAACTACCTCCAAGACTTCAGACCAAGATGGTTTCTTTGGAGGCAGTTTCTATCAGTCTTTCAAAGAAAAAATGACCACTGCATAGCAGAGAAAAAAGATGAAGTTTCCCCCATTCATTTTGTGAGGGCTGACCAGGACACATACACACACACACACACACACACACAAAAAAAAAAAAAAAAAAAAAAAAAATCAGTTCCTTTCCTGAATCACCAGGTAAAGCTCCTAGAGAAAAATACTAATGACTAGATTGCAGCAGTACATCTGGCATGGTCAGGCTGGATTATTCCAGAATGCAGGAGTGACTCAGTGTCAATAAGCAAGGAGAGAAAACCCAAACGATCATCTATAATAGAAATTTGCAAGCTATGGCCCAGCAGCCAGCCACCTGGCTTTGTCATTTACATATTGCCTGTAGCTGCCTCTGAACTCAACAGCAGAGCTGAGTAGCTGTGATGGAGCCCCTATGACCCCAAACCTAAAATATTTACTATCTGGCCATTTAAGACAAAGTTTGCCAATCTCTGATCTATAATAGGCAAAAAAGAAGGGGATGTGAGACATTGTTCAATTCTTCAGTTATATCTAAATGAAACTCTCATGAATTAAGAATAAAAGGAAACTTTCTTTGCATTATAAAGACTATCTTCAAGCAACAGCCAGCATTGTACTTAACAGTACTGGCTTTCTTCCAGAAAGGAGTCTGGCTATCACAGTGTTCAAATCCTGTCACTCCTAACTGTGTGACCTTGGACAAAATTTCTCGGTGCCTCAAGTGTCTCATCTGTAAAATGGAAAAATCCTATGATAGAGTTATTGTGAGGAATAATGGGTCACATGTATAAGGTGCTTAGAAGAGTGCCTAACTCTAGTTACCAACAAGAGTATTGTTTGTTTTATGTAGAGCAGGTTAGCTTCCGGCCAAGGACTGGCTCTCTCCCTGCCTGCAGAAGCATAGCTGGCCACAATCTTTCCAGAAGGCAATCTGGCTGCATGCTTCTCTAACCCTAAAAATGTGCCTACACTGTGATCCCTCACTCCAATTCTAGAAATCTATTCAAAGAAAGTAGATATGCATAAAGACTTACTACACTTATCACAGGGAAAAGCAATTTAAGCATCTGACAATAAGGAACCTTTGGGGGTAAATTGTATATCCATGTGATTAAATGTTGTACAACAACAAAAAATGATGTTGTAAAAATGTTTATTGACATGAAAAGTTATTCACAACTGATGAGATTTACAAAAGGTTAAAAACTGAATAATGAGAATTCTTTTTAGTTAAAAGATCAAACCCCAAATGTTCACAGCAATTATCTGTGAATGATAAAATTACAAATGTTTTATTTATTTCTTTTATTTTGTGTTTCACTTAAAGTTTTATAATTTTTCATTGTGTACATGTATTCCTTACATAATTTTAAAACTGAAACATTTTGAAAATAAAGAACAACAGGATACTTCAAAACACACCACCAAGAAAATGAAAAGATAATTCACAGAACAGGAGAAAATATATGCCTGTGTGTATCTGATAAAGGATTTGTAAACAGAATATATAGAAAACTCATACAGTCCAAAAATCAAAAGACAAACAACTCAATAAAAATGAGCCATGGATTAAAATAGACATTCCTCAAGAGAAGTTATACAAACGGCTAATAAGCACATAAAGAGATGCTCAACATCCTTGCCGCCAAGGAAATGCAAATAGAAACCACAAGGAAAGAACATTTCACACCACTAGGATGCCTATAACCAAAAAGTCAGATAATAAAAAGTGTTCATGAAGATGTGGAGAAACCAAAACCCTCATTTACTTCTGGTAGAAATGTAAAGTATTGCAGTCACTTCAAAAAACAGGGTAGCAGCCCCTCAAAAGATTAGACAGAGAGTTACCATATGACCCAGAAATTCTCCTCGAAGAAAAATGAAAACTTAGGTCCATACAAAAAGTCATACATGAATGTTTATAGCAGCATTATTCATAAAAGTCCCAAAGTAGAAACAATCCAAATGTCTATCAATGAATAAAGAAAATGTGACGCACCCAAATAATGGCACATTATTTGATAATAAAAAGCAATGAAAAACTGATCGATGCAATGTGGATAAACCTTGAAAATGTTATGCTAAATGAAAGAAGTTAATTACAGAAGACCACATATTTCATGATTTCATTTACATGAAATGTCCAGAATAAGCAAACCCATAGAGACAAAAAGTAGGCTAATGGTTGGGAGAAAATGAGAGACAATTGCTCTTGGGGTACATTATTTCTTTTTGGAATAATGAA